TTGAATGTGTATTGAACTATGCAGATCTTCCAATGACATACCGTATTAAAAAGCTTTCTTTGCTTTTAGCTCAAGTGATATAATACTGGACCTCTTAGAAACAGTTTGTGAAGATAGGTTAGAAAACTGCTGAACAAATATTTCTGCATAGTCCTAACAGGACGGACAGCAAAAGTATTTACTCCATGGGGCCTTACTCTCAATAGACATGTGATAGTTGCTGATTGACAAGACCTGGGCTTGATGTTCAGTGGAGCAATGTAGCCAAACTGGGGCTGAAAAGAGGTGGCAACAAAGGAGAGGCTCCTGTTTCTGGTAGATTGGGGCCAAAGCAACCTATTTGTGAGGCATTTTGAAGGACCTTTCATAGGTTTGACTTACGATGGCAACAAGCATGAAGTGACAGAGTCTCATTCCATAACTGACCTGTTCCCTAAAGAATCCCAGTCTCTGCTGATCATGGAGTCTATGGATCACCTGGCTGGTTAAATGTCTCCTGAGACTAGATTGGCCTATGGGATCCCAAATCTCTGAGGCCAGCTGCCTCACCTTGTGCCAGGAAGCCACTCCACCTGCTTAGCAACTGGCTCCAACTCTATGTTTCCACCCTCTTCAACAGTCCATGCTGCAGGAGTTTCTTTTTACCATTATTATTAATTGTTATTGAAAATTTTAATAACAAAAGGCAATGCAAACTAAACACAGAAAAAGCAAGAATAAGAGAATAGTAAGTGAAAAGAAAAAGGAGAAGGGAAAAAGAAATTCTTAAAGTTATTTCTGATCTTCATCACAAGTACAAATTTAGTAATTTTTCACCCCTTATAAGGTTATATACAAGTATCTCTTCTTCCCTTAACCCATCCTATTCATTCATTTGTTTGTTTAATTTCCTGCCACTATTGTTTTACAAATCACTCAATGCAATGTACATACCTAATACTTCTTCCTTCTCATATTTTCCTCACAACAACCACACTATAAAATGAATTGGGCTGAGAGAGAGGGACTGGCCCAAAGTCACCCAGCTGGCTTTCATCCCTAAGGTGAGACTAGTTTTCTAGTTTCTAGTCTGGTGCCTTAACCACTAGACAAATTGATAGAGAAATCCATAAATCATTAATCATAATGCATAATAGAAATCAATGCTTTTCAAAAGATGAAAGCTGCATTTCAAATTCTGTGCTAAAAAAGGTACTTTGTGTCTGTGAAAGAAAGGGGACTTTCAAATATCTTTGCATGCCTTATCTGACAAAAAACGAAAAGGAGAGACAAAAAATAGGAATTTAGAGCCCAGCAAAGAGAAGCAACAGGTGTTTTTATTGCAGGTGTTTTTCCCTTAAGAGAACGAAGGGATAACTTGATATGATAAAGAGCTGGACTGTCACCAACAGGGCTTTTTTTGTCATAGAACACCCAGAATGCAGTTCTGGCACCTTTTTTGGATGGAACCTTGTAGAGTAGGCAAGTCGGGTTGTATGACATGTGTGAGTTCTAGCACCTTTTTTTTTTTTTTTTTTTTTAAAAAAAAACCACTGGTCACCAATATTTATAACTCAAGCTGTCAAGCTGTGAAGCCTACAGTCTTTAGGACAGCTGCATGTTTCTAGCTTGCCAACAGTGCGGGAGAGGAAGAGAGGAAAGTTTTGAATCCACATGTGTTCCTTATCAATGTGAGAGCTGAAGAGTTGTTTTGGTGAACTAAAGTTCCTTCTCATAACAATTACTGGAAGGTATATTGGAGAATACTGTCAGAGAGGAGAGGGAAAGTTTTACTCTGCCGTAGTTTCAGAGTTAGCTTTTCTTCAAACTTGCCGGATTGTTTTATGCCTAATAAAGTTAACATTGGAGGTCATCATGCTTCTAGTGTTTTGCCAGAATATGACACAGGGTTGAAATGGGGGGTCAGTATGACTGACTGATTGAGAGTGGAATCTAGGTTCCCCTGCTTTTTTTTAAAAATGTATCTATTCCATTTCTAATTTTTTAGCCAGCATTCCAAGACTTTGTTAAATTTAAATTTACTGAGAAAGAATTGAAGGGAGATGGTAAATTTAAATTTAACACAGAAATGGTTGATCACAGAAGCAACTGCCTGTGAAGGCTCCTAGATTGGGACTGAAAGGTGCAAGGGGAAGCAGTATCTCCATCCCACATTTGGGTAGACCAGGTTGCTCTGATAGACCGGTCTCATAGACCAGAAAACACTCATTCAAAGACTTGTACAACATACAAGTCCAAAAATGGGTCTGGGGCTTAATGTGTTTTGCAAACTCATAGAGCAGTGATGGCAAACCTTTTAGAGGCCGAGTGCCCAAAAACCACCCTCTGCCCCCGCTCCGCCTCCTGCCCTGCCTGCTCTGTCCCCTGCCCCACCCGTCTGCAGAGCCACGCACCGCCTCCATGGCCTGCTGCAGATTGCCCAGGCAGCCCTGTAGCGCCATGGCAGCCATGCCCTCTGCCCACACCCTGCAGCATCATCTGCATGCTATGGGGCGTGAGGGCGAAGTCTTGTCCGTGCTGCCTGGCTATGTCCTTAGCTGTACTACTCCGTGCAGGCTGCGCCCAGGGGTGACTCTCTTCCAGGGGCTGCTGGTAAGGAGAGGCCTGTGGTGGGAGGCAGGGCTGGGGCAACAGTGCGCATACCCACAGAGAGGGCTCCAAGTGCTACCTCTGGCACACATGCCATAGGTTCACCACCACTGTCATAGAGAGTAGTTAATGTACAGTGTTGTATGCATTTCAAGCAATCTGCCTGCTGCTGCTATTATCTTGTTTGAATTTTTTTATTTATTTATTTATTTACTTACTTACTTACTTACTTATTTATATCCCACCTTTATTTGTCTATGGAGATTCTAAGCCATCTATGTCATCGTTGTCCAAAAGGTGCTTTTTCAGGAGGCAATTGGACTTTCTTGTTTTTCTTTGAAGATGTTTTGCTTCTCATCCAAGAAGCTTCTTCAGTTCTGACTGGATTCCTTCCATTTCCCACCATCCAGTCAGAACTGAAGAAGCTTCTTGGATGAGAAGCGAATGTCTTAAAGAAAAAAACAAGAAAGTCCAGTTGCCGCCTGAATTATTTTTTATAAATAATTCAAGGTGGCAAAGATACCCAATACTTCTTCCTTCTCCTATTTCCCCCCCCCCCCCAAGAACAATCCTGTGAAGTGAGTTGGGCTGAGAGTGACTGGCCCAAGATCACCCAGCTAGCTTTCATGCATAAGGCAGGATTAGAGCTCACCAACTCTGGATTTCTAGCCTGGTGCCTTCACAAACAGAGAAAACTGGTTGCAAGCTTTATTGCATAGACAAGTACAACAAACTTCCCAACCTGCTACCCTCGTATTTTGTATTTGGAAGGCTCAGATCTTGCAATGAGTGATAGCAAAAGTGGAATGTAAGTTGCAAGTTGAAAATGTTTCTGAATAAATTATGAAAAGTCAAAGACACTTTATTGATTTTTATACCAATTGAAGAATTCAATTATCTGGGTGCCCAGGTATGCAATTATGGCAGAATTGCCAGTTTACAGAGAAAGCTGACATCTCCAGTCATATATGTGCATGAGTTATTAGTCTGGGCTTGATTCATTCTATCAAAAAGTTTACCAAAACCAGTGTAAAAACATGAGTGAGGGGGAATGAGTGAGGGGCAATGCAGAAACTCTAACTCATAGGTATTTTCTACATATAAATATTTTTGAATCTCAAATTAAACTGCCTAAAGTCTAACTCAGAAACAATATCAGATGAAACATCTTCAGAGGAAAAAGAAAGTCCAGTTGCCTTGTGATAAAGCATCTTTGGGACAACTATGACCTAATGACTGAGAATCTCTATAGACATGGACCTAGCACTTCTTAGAACAGTCTCCTCAGCCCACTAATCAGACCAAATGTGGCAATCAGCCTGATTCTGCAAAACCTACTTCCCAGAAAGAGGTAAGTGGACTCTTTCTGGGCTGACAGAAACAACTGGAGTTAGGCAGCCCCTCCGATACACAAGCTCTTATACCAGGGGTATTAAACTGCTGGCCCATGGGCCAATTTCATCATACCGAAGCCGTGCCCACCCCATTGCCAGCAATGCAAAAAGATTCGCAATGTGTCACAACACGCCACGTGATGTGGCAAGTTTGACACCCATGTCTTATACGAAGCTGGGCTTTATAGGTGACAATCAGCACCTTGAATTACACCTGGAAGTCAACTAGCAACTAATGCAACTCATTTAGTATAGATGACACTTTGTGGGGGCATAAACAATGTTCTTGAATGGTACAGGGGAAAGAGTGCTACCAAGGCAATCATAAGAGAGGCTTGAGTCCAGGCCAAGAAAACAACCTGAGAAAACATCTCAGATGAGCCCTTCCTAGTTCACACAAAAATAAGTGGAGGGAGGGAGACGCACATATGGACTTTTGTTACTATAATGTTATGGTAAAAGTAGCCCAGATTTATATTGTATTGGTTTTTTAGTCTAGTCTAACAAATAATACCTGTTAGTTCTTGTACCACTGTACTATCATTTAGAAGAGCCTTCTGGGTTTTTAAGAATGTATTGTATAAGACACTGTTCAGACTGAGTAAAACATTATTGTTATTATCTTCACTATCATCATACCCATTATTTCCTTTGCTGTCTCAAAATGCCTCTAACTGTTAACATTCTTGAACCAAAGTATGGTTGAACCCTATCAGCTCTATTGCAAATTCCTTTCAGGTCTTTTCCATTGATTCAAGGTTATTGACTAATCAAGGAAAGAAAACTCATAATCATATAAGAGGGGTAATAAGCATTTGAATACTTAATATTTCACAAATAAATGCTAACTTGTATTGGGTTTCCCAGCATCTCTTTGGCAAGGTCAGCCCAGTTTCCTGAAGATTACCTATCACGTGCCAAGAGCTCAGGGACATGAACCAGAGGACAGGTTTTGGGTGTTAAGGGCGGGGCAACTTTTTTTTCTTCCTTACAGCCAGAATTATCTGAATGGACAGATTACATTCCTTCCTTCATATAAAAGTCCTGCACAAGAGCAAGCCAAAGGATTCCTCTTTGGCAGCTTGGTTCCAGTCCATCAGTCTCTTTTCTAAACCCATGCCGACATTTTGACAGTAAGGTTTCATTTTGATGGAAGGGATTGGGGATGTGGTAATAACTAAATTCTTTCTTAGGCAAGTAGAAATTAAAATAAATCGTAAAGATATCTTTCAGCTTTTCTATTCTGAGCAGTTAGATCCCTGGTTATGTTAGCATTTAGTCTGAATATTAGTTACCTTTTCTCCTGTTGTTTATATCACAATATTATTTATCTGCAGTCTAGAAATATAGATAAATATCTTTTTAAAAATATATTTTTTACATTATTTACATTCAAATTGCATGTTATTACTAATTTTAATGTAACATCTTGAGTCTTTCTAATTTAGCATTTGTATAAATGAAATAAGCAAACAAATAAACAGGGATACATTGTTAGGGATCAATAACACCAACCTTTATTTCTAACTTTTATTATTAAAATTTGTCATTGTCTTTATCAAAATGTGCAGTTTTAAACCAAGATTTGTATTTGTGTTTTGAATGTCATAGTAGGAAAGGCCTTGATGAAAATGATTTGTTTATCTTTAGGGGACAAAAAAAAGTTTGAGAAGAAGTTTGTAAAAACTGAGGCCAAGACTTAAATGCTAATATTTAAACTAGTTTATTTATTTCTAGACACTTGTAGGTCAACCATACATAAATTGCTCCTCATATCAATTTATTCATTTAATATTTAAATTTTTCCCTTTTATTATTATGATTAATTTATGGGAACATGATTTTGCTATTTATTTGATTGATTTTCATTCCACCTTTATTACTTTATAAGTAACTCAAGGTGTGAACATACATAATGTTCTTTCTTCCTTCTATTTTCCCCACAACAATTCTGTAAGTTGAGCTGGGCTGAGAGATTTTGCCTGGCCAAATTCAGGCAGATTGGTGGGGCCCAGGAGGCCTCTGCCTTTTCTACAGCAGTGCCCACCCTCTGGAGCATTCTGCCTCCAGAGATTAGAATGGTCCAGACCCTACTGGCTTTCTAAGGCCCTAAAGGCAGGAGTCTAGAATTGTTTTTATTCTAGTGGTTATTGTTTACCACCCAGAGTCACTTGTGGACATGGGTGGGGATGCTTATGAACCCATACAGTTAGTTAATCCAATAACCTGGTTAAAAGGGATTTGTGAAAGTAGCCACTGATTCATTTCTCAGCTCAGTTGTGGAATAGACCTATAGTCCCACAGTAGCCAGCTGCTCACTGGTTAGGTTCAATGTGTTATGTGCTCCTGGCTACTTTGCTTTGTGACCAGAGGCAAGCTCGCCTGACCAATAACCAGCCAAGACATAATGAAGGCCTTTTGTTTCATTTATTGCAACAAGTGGGAGAGAAGCTATCAAAGCTTGGTTCTCTCCAAAATTCCAACCCAAAATATTTCCATCTTTATACATGCCTGTCCTGCACATCCCTCCTCTTTCCCCATTGACTGAGGTAGTATGAGGTTACACTCTTTCCGACTGCCTCCTACATATTTCCTCAACCTTGGCAACTTTAAGACTGGCTGAGGAATTCTGGGAGTTGAAGTCCACAAGTCTTAAAGTTGCCAAGATTGAGGATCCCTGTCCTATAGCACTGTTATTTCTATAGAGTTTTAGAAGCCATTTTAATCACACCTCTTTCTGAAAGCCTGTTCTAGGCCTTGGAGGCCTGGAGGAGGTCTCTCAGGCCTAGAATGGCCTGACAGAAATGTGTTGATATCACTTCCGGAAATCCATTCTAGGCCTTGGAGGCCCAGGCCTGCATCCACGCAGAGAACCGGATGTTAAGGTATTTGAATCCCACCATTGACCTCTTTGGAAAGATTTCCCAGGCAGAGAAAATGATGTGGAAACCTGGTCTTCAGATTAATATTTCCTATTCCAAAGCCAAATTATCCCATATTCCAAGAATATACACTCAGGTTTTGGCAGACACAGCAAATATTTAAAACATTTCAGATTGATAATTACACTGTTGCTGTTGGTCTCAGGGTAAAAAGAATAAAAAAGGCATGGATTTGAGGCAGTCAATAGTCAAGGGGGCTGTTACAATTCTGGGATAGAAGTCATGACACATTTAACATGTTTCATGTATGACACACAATCACATGGGGCTATAACTATTCGGTGCAGGAATACATATTAAAGCATCTCTGTCAGAAGGTGTCTATTCTCTTTATCTAGTTAAAGGAAGCTCACTTCTTCTCTTTGTACTGGACTACCTTGTCAAATTGCTATGACCCTATCACATTTTCCCTACATTTCAATCAGAATTCAACCTACATTTGCAATATATTTAAAAAAAACAGATCAGGTCAGACAAACCTTATTGCCTTCTTTCATAAAGAGACTAAATTAATGGAACAAGGAACTGATGTGGATATGGCATTTGACAAAGTAGAACACAGCCTACTTCTTGGTAAGATAGAACAATGTAGGATAGACAGCAGCATCACAAGATGGATTCACAGTTGACTGACCAGCGTGAGGTCCTCAGTGGAACTACATCTATTGGAAGAAAGCATACATAACTTCAAGGTTTTGTCTTGGACCCAGTGCTTTTCAACGTCTTCATGACTTATCTAGACAAGAGAATAGAAGGAGAGTTCATCAAATTTGCAAATGACACTAGGCTGGGAGGAATTGCTAACACTTTAGAACAGACATGTCAAACTCGCAATGTCATGTGATGTCATGCGACATATCGGAGCTTTTCCCCCCATTGCTGGCAATGGGATGTGCACGGTTTTCTGATGACGTATCCGGCCTGTGGGCCAGCAGTTTGACACCTCTGCTTTAGAAGATAGAAATCAAGGTTCAGAAGGCTCTTGACAGACTCGAACATTGGGCTCTATCAAGATGTACTTGGATGGTGAGAAAAGTAACATCCTGAACTTAGGCAGGAAAAACCAAATGCATAGGCACAGAATAGGTGATAACTGGCTCAATATCAGCAACTGTATAAATCAAATAAGCAAACAAATAAACAGGGATACATTGTTAGGGATAAATAACCCCAACCTACCACCATTTAAATATGAGCCAGTAGTGTGCTGCAGCTGCCAAAAAAATAAAAAAAGCCAGTGCAGTCCTAGGTTGCATCAACAGAGAGATAGCATAAAGATTACAAGAAGTGATAGTGCAGCTTTATTCTGTAATAGCGAGGCCATCCTTGGAATACTGCATCCAGTTCTGGTCACCACCATATAAAAAAATTGCTGAGACTCTTAGAAAATGTGCAGACAACAACAATGATAATGGGTTTGGAGATTAAACAGTATGATGAAGAGTTAAGGGAACTAGATAATCTAGCTAGCCTATCAAACACTAGGATTAGAAGTGATATGATACTGTGTTCTAATGCTTGAGAGGATGTCACACAGAAGAGCACCAAGGTCAATTTATTCCCCAAAGTACCTGAGAGCAGGACAAGAAGCAATGAGTGGAAGCTCATTAAAAAGAGATCCAACCTAGAACTAAAGAGAAATTTCCTAATAGTGAGAACAATTAATCAATAGAACAGCTTGTCTCACTGAGTTGTCGTTATTGCATCATTGGAGGTTTTCAAGAATAGACTGGACAACCATTTGACCAGAATGGAATAAGAACACCTGCCAGGCAGGGGTGGTTGGACAAGAAGATCTCCTTTCCAGCCCTATGATTCAATGATTTTATGAAATGAATACATGTCCTGCCTTCTGGGAGGTTAAAAATGGCTCAGATCCTTTTGGATGATATCATTCAAGATTCTTGAAGACAATTATCCTTTCCCCAAATTATGTTTTTCAGGAGTTTCAAGAAGGTCTGTCTAAAAAACATAGTAACTATGAAGGAAAATGAGGGTCTTCTAATTTTTGTAGCCTTTGTAATGCTACTACTTTGGGGTAAGTGATTTATACCAAGGGTTTAAAAATGCAATAATCATGTTTATTTGTTTAATAACTGCCCAGGTCACAAAACATTACACTTGTTGCTGAAAATAAATAAAAAGAATTTCTGTCAGGTTTTCAAAATTCTGTTATCATACCCACTAACAATAAATGGAATTCCACTAATTTATATGATATTTGTTTCCTGATATGGCCTACAAAGACAGTAATGAGCAGCTGCATAATCTTTACAGTATTATTACTGTATATTATACATGCCATTACAATTAGTTCTCAGCTTATATTCATTTGTTCAGTGACAGTTCAAAGTTATGAAGGTACTGAAAAAATGGAAGCATAACTAATCCTCCAAATTCTGGCTATTGCACTACCCCCACATACTATCAGAATTCAGGCTGGCCCACCTTTCTAATGCTCCCATCTGATATCACATTCCCCATCCCATCCAGTGCTGACCTTTGTCATCTTCTTTGTCTAGGACAGGGGTAGGCAACCCAAAACACTCAAAGAGCCACTTGGACCGTTTCCCGTTGAAAACAAAACACTGGGAGCCACAAAATCCTTCTGATATCTAAAATGAAGATAACTATATATATATCACATAAAGGTAAAAAAGGATATATGCAGTGTTACCTTCATTTTAGATGTCAAAAGGGTCTCTCCCTCTCTCTCTCCCTCCCTCCCTCCCTCTCTCTTTCTCTCTCTCCCTTTTTCTTTCTTTCCTCTTCCTCTTTCCTCTCCCTCCCTCTCTCTCTCTCTCTCTTTCTTTCCTCTCTCTTTCCTCTCCCTCTCTTTCTCTTTCCTCTCCCCCCTCTCTCTTTCTCTCTTTTTCTTTTTCTCTCTCCCTCTCCTCTCTCTCTCTCTCTCTCTCTCTCTCTCTCTCTCTCTCTCCCTCCCTCCCTCCCTCCCTCCCTCTTTCTTCCTCTCTCTGATCTTCTGCTCACCTGGCAAGCTGGCTTCAAGCTGTTCCCCAACCAGCTGACACACATTCTTATTGGGCTAACTCAGGGGTAGGCAACCTGGCTCTTTTATGACTCATGGACTTCAACTCCCAGAATTCCTGAGTCAGCATAGCTGGGCTAGCTAGCTCTCTCCTGCCCTTCCTGCTTCCTGCAGAGACACAGCAAAGGGAGGAGCCCCACCCAAAAAGCTTTTCAGCTCATGGGAGAACACCATGAGTCCACTATCTTTTTTACACACACACACACACACACACACACACAGAGAGAGAGAGAGAGAGAGAGAGAGAGAGAGAGAGAGAGAGAGAGAGAGAGAAGCTCTGTCTCTGTCTCTCTCTGCAAATGGAAGAGGAGGCTGGGAGCCACAGGGGAAGGCTCAAAGAGCTGCATGCGGCTCCGGAGCCACAGGTTGCCGACCTGTGGTCTAGGAAGAGGCAGGAATCCAGGGCAAGCATGCAGACAGGTGATAGCTAGGAGTGGAGTAGCAAGTGCCATGGGCAGATGCTAGAGAACATGGGGCTTAAGGTGATGCAGTGCCCCATCTATGTGTCTTGAGGTGACATAGGATCTGAGGCCAGTCAGTGGTGCTCGGTCTTGAGACCATATGGAGTTGCTGGTGCTTGGTCAGCTGGCCCTGCAGGGGCTTCTAACCAGAATATATAGGATTGAATTGTTAGTTAGCTAACTATGGACAGTTAGTTAGTTAGCTATCAGTCGCTGTATCAGTGAGATGGGTGGCATAAACATTTCATACATGAATAAAAACTACAGGAAAAAAAAAGTAGTCTCAATCTTGACTTGTTCCTAAACACAACCTGTAGGTTTTATAGCGACTTCTCAATAATAGCTTCCCTCCAGCCATCACTTTCTACTTCCCTCAACCTTGCCATCTTACTGGTAGTTGTTTTTTCTAGACTGTCATCATCATCTGACACATTACATATCTAAAATAAGTGAGATTTTGTTTGCTGATTATCGCTTCAAGAAAGCAGCAAGCCTTATTTGGTCCAGAACTGATTCTTCTTGCAGTCCACACTATCTTAGTAGCCAAAGTCAGAATTCAAAAGTCTTTTTTCTGATTGCCCATCTCTCAATACTGTATGATTGCAGAAAAACAAACATCCTGCTTTAACTGTTCTGATCTTTCATGTCTTCATTCCATTGTCCTTATCCTGCAAGATCTTGCCTAAATTTGACATTATCTTCCTCTCGAGGATTAACTTGTCTTCACTTCTCCAGCATACCATCAATCTTCATTCACTTTGAGCCTGAGAAAACAAAGCTATCAACATTTCTGTCAACAGGGAACTCATTAAGCATATTGGAACTCCAAATACTTTTGCATAATTGCAAACACATTAACTACAGTTGTTCCATCCAAACACTCAATTAAGTTGAGAGCATTTTCATGAAGGAAGGCAAATGTTGCAGGATCCAATCTGGGTTGGCCACTGGGACCAGAGGTTTAGTCTTCTGAGCTTTCAGACTCATGCCAGAGCCCATCCTCCAGGAACTTCTCTCCCACCAGAATGTATGGGGAGAGAGAACTTCTCCCCAAGGAGGGACTCTAGCACAAGTTTGAAAGTTCAGAAGACTAAACCTCTGGTCTCGGTGGCCAACCCAGATTGGATCCTGAGAGCATTTTGTTTTTCTGTTTCTCATAAAAGCCAATAAAATCCATACAATTCTGGGCAAAGAAAAATAACTTTTTACCCAGCTCTTTAATTTATGGAACTTAAAATTGCTTGAAGATATGAGGGACACTAAATTGGGTAGCTTAGCTGTTTTTAAAAAATGAAAGTCTAACTCTTTTCTGTATTCTAACTATTTAAAATTGCATTTTAAGGAGGCTGGGCAGAAGGCAGTACACATGACCATATTATTCGTCGACCATATCCTGTTCCTTTGAATGGAGTAAGTAAAAAATAGCTTAAGTTGCTTGTATATATAATTTTGCTTTATAATTTGATGACTAATCTCAAGGCATAATTTATTCAGAATGAAATTATAATTATCATGTAGCAGTAGATTATAAAATTGTTAAATGAGAGAATAAACACCATATAGTACCATGTTTAAGAATCATGTTTTTTAAGATAATTCATATTTCAAGCACAACACTCTAAAGAGGGCAACAAGTTAAAACATCTTAAAATATTAGGTGCATTTGAAAAGAAGTGATGTCAGGTTTCTGTCATTATCTTAAAGTCCCCCACTATCAAATATTGCAGTAGCTTTTCAAAATAGATGTTATTCTAAACACCCCAGAACTCAAACTCAGGATCCAAACAGATCTTGACAAACTTGAACAATGAGCCCTATCCAACAAAATGAGTTTCAATGTGGAGAAAAGCAAAGTTTTACATTTAGGCAGGAAAAACCAAAGGCACAAATATAGACTGGGCAAGACCTGGCTCAAAAACAGTAACTATGAGAGGGACCTTGGAGTCCTAGTGATGATCACTTGATTATGAGCCAGCAATGTGCAGCAGTAGCCAAAAATGCTAATACAAGCCTGGGTTGTATAAACAGAGGCATAGAATCAAGATCACATGAAGTATTAGTACCACTTTATAAAACCCTATAAAACCCTAGACCACACCTGGACTACCACAGCCAATTTTGGTCACAAAGTTTTGGTCATAAACATGGGTTTGTCAAAAACAAATCATGCCAGACAAATCTTGTTGCATTCTTTGACCAAGTGACAAAATTAGTGGATCAGAGGAATGCAGTGGATATAATTTACTTGGACTTCAGTAAAGCATTTGATAAAGTAGATCACAACCTACTACTTGATAAGATAGAAAAATGTGGGTTAGACAGCATCACCACCAGATGGATCTGTAGCTGGCTGACCGGCTGTACTCAGTGTGTGGTCCTCAGTGGAACCGCATCTACATGGAGGGAAGTGAGGTGCCCCAGGGCTCTGTTTTGGGCCCAGTGCTCTTCAACATCCATCAACGATTTGGATGAGGGGATAGATGGGGAAATCATCAAATTTGCAGATGACACCAAGCTGGCAGTAATAGCCAACACTTAAGATACAGGAGGATCTGGACAGACTTGAACACTGGGCACTACCTAACAAAATAAAATTCAATGGTGAAAAAAGTAAGGTTCTAGATTTAGGCAAGAAAAACCAAATGTACAAGTATAGTATAGGGGGGACCTTACTCAATAGTAGTAACTATGAAAGGGACCTCAGAGTCCTAGTGGACAATCACTTAAATATGAGCCAGCAGTGTGCTGCAGCTGCCAAAAAGGCCAACACAGTGCTAGGTTGCATTAACAGAGGGATAAAATCAAGATCACGTGAAGTATTAATACCACTTTACAATGCCTTGGTAAGGCCACACTTCGAATACTGCATGCAGTTTTGGTCACCACGATGTAAAAAAGATGTTGAGACTCTAGAAAGAGTACAGAGAAGAGCAACAAAGATAATTAGGGGACTGGAGGCTAAAGCATATAAGGAACGGTTGCTGGAATTAGGTATGTCTAGTTTAATGAAGAGAAGGACGAGGGGGGACATGATAGCAGAGTTCCAATAGAGACTGCCACAAAGAAGAGGGAGTGAAGCTATTTTCCAAAGTGCCTGAAGGCAGGATAAGAAGCAACGGATAGAAACTAATCAAAGAGAGAAGTGTTGAGTCCTTGGCGAAGGGAAGACGCGAGAAGCGGTTGTAGTTCTCAAGTTTCTTTTATTCTGTGTTCAGCTTACAGGTGAAGGCTTCAGCAACGCCCAAAAGCTCTTATATAGACAGTTCCCTGGTCAATGTGTTACTTTTCCCGCGCCAGCACCCGCGCATGCGCACAGGCGCTGGCGACAGCCTGTCGGGTCCCGGGCAACTTGCACCTGCCCGGGACTGCCTGCAAACGCCCCGAGCCCGTTTGCAAGGCTCGGGACATAACACCCCTTTCCCCCTGGCTAAGACTACTACCAACATACAATTATTTCTTGATGCAGTATTCTACTCCCCAGTGCTCCTACTGTTTACTGGCTTTTGTTTGGCCAGCAATGTTATGTAATCCTCTAAGTATTTAGGAGATTTCCTTGCTCTCTGTGACCTTCTCAGCTCTGGGTTTCTGACAGGTGTTCCCTGACTGAGGGGAGACGTGAGCCTGTTCTCCTTATCATGCCTTGGTGCCTTCCAAGGACTGTGCCCCAATGCCTGGCCTGCTTGCTCGCCCACCGGGCTCATCAGGCCAGGGCTTCTTTCACTTTGTGACCTGGTTGACCTGCCTAGCTGTAGGCCCTCGGGCCCCTTGAAGTGATAGCCACTGCTGGGCGTCTCTGTAGAACCTCCCAGGTCCGTCAAAGACCTGTCAGGAGGCTGTCCATTCTCTAAACCCCGTTCTGTGTCCGGGCTTGTGTGGGTTTCTGTACCTTCCCAAAACTCAGTTACTCCCTGATTTGGGCTAGAGGTGTTGCGGTCGGGATTTGGTTCCTCAACTACCTCCCTGTATGTTTGACCCCCTGTAGGACTTGGGGTAAGGTCAGGCCAACTCTGGGGATTATGTGCCAGCTCTTTTGCGTGGTATGATTTATTGGGATGCTCCCGGGTATCCTCCCTGACTGGAGTACTGTGCTGTGCAGGTGAATAGTGATTGTACCCCCGGGGTGACTCCCTGGCTGGAATAGGCGTGAATGCCTGGTAGTTGGATAGGCTCTTAGAATTCCTGTTTGGCGCACTCGCGGAATCCTGGAATGGGCCATTTGTGGCTCCATTGTTGGAGGTGGGCAGCAGCTCGTGCCCCTCCCTTTTCTCTAAAGGGTCCCCCTCCCCCCTGGAGAAGACCCAGGAGTCTCATCTGAAAGATCCCGCCTAGGGCGGAGTTGGTCGATGTGCCGACGCAGGACACGACCGTTGTCCAGGGCTACCTCGTAGGATAGAGGACCTGTGACCCTGGAAATAGAAGCAGGGACCCATGTATGACCAGGCCCGTAATTGCGAGTCCAAACCGGGGCACCCACAAGTAGTTGTCTAGGTGCCCTAGGATGTGAGGTAGATGAAGGCAGTCTGTCCGGATGCAACCGGTCAAGCTTCGTAGTAAGTTTGTGCCCCCAGCGAAGTTCAGCTGGGCTTCTCCCTGTAGAAGTGGACGGTGTGGTGCGGTAAGAAAGGAGAAAGTCAGCCAACCTGTGATGCCAGTCCCCATAGGTGAGTCTTTTCAAGGCGTCCTTTGTGATGCGGACCATGCGTTCAGCCATACCGTTGGTGGACGGGTGGAAGGGTGCAGACGTGGCATGACGAATCATGTTTGCCTGTAAGAAAGCTTGGAATTTGGAGGAAGTAAATTGCGGGCCATTGTCAGACACGATGACATCTGGGAGCCCGTGTGCAGCAAAAATCTCCCTCAGTACCTGAATAGTCTTTGCAGTGGTGGTGGATGAGACAGGTACAACCTCAAGCCATTTTGAATGACTGTCAACGAGGACCAAGAAGAACTGGCCCTGAAAGGGCCCAGCGAAATCAATGTGCACCCTAGACCATGGGGACTGTGTTTCCTCCCATCTATGCACAGGAGCTTGGGGCATCTCTGGGCGAGAGCGCTGGCACAGGTGGCATGCATGCACCTTAGCCTCAATGTCCTTATCTAAACCAGGCCACCACAAGTGGCTGCGCGCAAGGGCCTTCATGCGAACAATGCCAGGATGACCCTCGTGGAGGGACTCTAAGATCCTAGTCCTCATTGAGGTGGGAATGACAACTCTGTTTCCCCAAAGCAGACAACCCTGAGAAGTGGACAACTCGTTCCTTTTGGACCAGAAACTCTGAAACTCAGGACTAGGGCAGTGCTCAGGCCATCCAGACAAAACCCAAGAAAGGACACGTGAAAGTGTGTGATCTGTGCCTGTTTCAGCGGCGACATCCCTGGCATTCAGAGGGGACTCGGGCAAAGCTTGGATGGATAGAATGTTGACAGCTGGCGCAGGGTCAGCTTCTACTACTGGCAGGGGCAATCTACTGAGGCCATCAGCATGGCCCATTTCTTTCCCAGGCTTGTGGAGTAAGGAAAAATCATATGCAGACAGAAAAATAGACCACCTAAGCATTCTAGGGGAAATGATTTGGGGAGTTTGTTTACGTGTGGTAAACAATCCCAGCAGAGGCTTATGGTCAGTGAAGACCGTGAATTGCCTGCCATACAAAAAATCATGGAATTTTTTAATTCCAGCAACAACAGCCAGAGCTTCCCTGTCTATCTGAGCATAGTTGCGCTCAGCAGAAGACAGTGTTCTGGAGTAATATGCAACAGGAACCTGAGTTCCATCAGACCTGAGACAGTCGACTTCCCCGTCCGGATCCTCCTCGGAGTTCCCTTGGACATCCTCTTGGTGCACGGATGCAACATCTGGGCTGTTCCTGATCGGCCGCATGTTTTTGATGGCGCCGCCTGCTGCTTCTTCTGCGGTGACCTCTCTTAAGGCATCTTGGAAGGACAATTCTTCTTTGGCGAAAAGCCTCTGTTGTAGCTCTCGATGCCTTAAGCTGCACACGAATCGGTCCCTCAGTCGTTCTTCGAGGTCCTTGAACTCGCAGTGCTTGGCGGCCTTCCTCAATGCGGCGATGTATTCTTTGGCCGACTCTCCGGATCGTTGATCCCTCTGCTCGAAGGTGTGGCGCCATGCGATGACGGACATCTTGGGCTGGAAGAGCTCCTTCAATAGCTTCTTTAGATCTGCGTAGCTGACAGACTCTAATGGGACAGGTGCTGCAAGGTTCTCTGTGATTTCGAAGGCGTCTTGACCGCAGACGCAGAGCAGGGTGGCAGCCTTCAAGCTATCTTCCCTCACTTGGTTTACCTTGAGGTAATTTTCCACCCTGGCTACGTAGGACTCCCACCGCTCTGGATGTGAGACGTCGAATTCCGAAAGCCTTCCGACTTTTGCCACTTTTTACTCACTTGGGTAAGCTTACACCTCTTCCTTTCCAGGCGATGTAAGGCATCCCACCTTCGTCGCCAGTGTTGAGTCCTTGGTGGAAAGCAAACGCGAGAAGCGGTTGTAGTTCTCAAGTTTCTTTTATTCTGTGTTCAGCTTACAGGTGAAGGCTTTGGCAACGCCCAAAAGCTCCCAGCCTCTTATATAGACAGTTCCCGGGTCAATGTGTTACTTTTCCCGCGCCAGCACCCGCGCATGCGCACAGGCACTGGCGACAGCCTGTCTGGTCCCGGGCAGCTTGCACCTGCCCGGGACTGCCTGCAAACGCCCCGAGCCCGTTTGCAAGGCTTGGGACATAACAAGAAGCAACCTAGAACTAAGGAGAAACTTCCTGACAGTTAGAACAATTAACCAGTGGAACAACTTGCCTCCAGAAGTGGTGAATGCTCCATCTCTGGAAGTTTTAAAGAAGAGACTGGACAGCCATTTGTCTGAAATGGTATAGGTCAGTGGTGGCGAACCTATGGCATGGGTGCCAGAGGCAGCACTCAGAGCCCTCCCTGTGGGCATGCGTGCCGTCGCCCCACTCCTAGGCCTTCATCTGGGTTTTATAAAACCTTTTCGCTTTAGGCCTCCACCGCCATGTGCAAAAAAAAAAAAAAAAAGGTTCAATCAATCAGTCAATTTCAACTTCTTGCGGGAAAAAAAAAGATCTTGCAAAGTTGGAATTGATTGATCGAACTTTTTAGACCCACCCAGTCTGCCATTACCACTGCAGCCATGCCCAGCCAATGGGCCACACCCAGCCAATGGCCACACCCACCCGGTACCCGACGATGCATAAATGGGTCTTGGGTTGCAATTTGGGCACTCGGTCTCTAAAGGTTCGCCATCACTGGTATAGGTTTCCCTGCCTGAGCAGGGGGTTGGACTAGATGACCTCCAAGGTCCCTTCCAACTTTATTATTATTATTATATCACAAAAAAGATATTGAGAGTTTGGAAAAAATTCAAAGAAGAACAGCTAAAATGATCAAAGGCCTGGAGACTAAAACATATGAAGAATGGCTTCAGGACTTGGGTTTGGCTAGTCTAAAAAAAAGAAGAAATAGGGGCAACAGGATAGTAGTGTTCCAATATTTGAGGGGTTGTCACAGAGAAGAGTGGGGTCATGTTATTCTCCAAAGCACCAGATGGAAGGACGAGAAACAATGGTTGGAAACTGATCAAAGAGAGAATTGAGGAGAAGCTTCCTGACAGTGAGGACAATTAACCAGTGGAACAGCTTGCCTCGAGAAATCGTGGGCGCTCCATCACTGGAGATTTTTAAGAAGAGGCTAGACAATCACTTGTCTGAGATGATATAGGTTCTCCTGCTTGAGCAGGGGGCTGGACTAGAAGACCTGCAAGGTCCCTTCCAGTTCTATTCTATTCTATATGTACAAGAACTAGCAAATTGGTTTTCCTAATGCTGCTTCTTTTTTCTTTTATTACTCAGTGTCCAGCACACCCAACCTGTAAGTAAAATCTGTTTCACTTTTACATTTTTGACCCCAAGGATGTTCAAAGGAATGAGTGGGATGAAAGCTAACTGGACCCATAATTAACAGCAGATACAGTGGTCATAGTTCAAAATTCTTTTTAGGTCTACAGTATAATATAAACCTTCTCCTCATTTAGCGATCATAATCCATTCCATAAATTGGAAGTGAAGTGGTCGCTAAATGAATTATCTGATACACAGACAGAGAGAGACATCGTGAAGATTGCTGGTTGCTGCCCTACCATTTAGATAATGTTCCCTATTATGCTAGCATTAATGCTAGCGTTAATTAGTCTTATTGCTATCAAACAGAGAAATCTGGGTGCCCCATTGGTCGGAAAAATATTTTTAAATTATCATTTCATCATTATTACCATCATCATCATCATCATCATCATCATCATCACCTTAGCCATTGTCTATCCACTGCAGAATGAAGGCCTCTTCCACATGTTTCCAACCTGTATGGTCCTGAGTGTTACATTTATTTACTACTATATTTGTGAACAGTTGCTAGCAGAGGTAGTTGCTAAATGAGGCTGTAATCAATTGTGAGGGAAAAATTGAGTCCTAATCTTTGTTCCTTGGTCAGATTGATTGTGACCAAGAAACACAGAACCCAGGATTTAAAGCACCAGCAACACTTTCTGAAAGAGAAAACTCAGACTGCAATCTAGAACAAAACTGATTAAATGTGAAGATATTTGAGACTTTTGACTAAGAAAGATTATTTTATTTTCATCTTTGTTTCTGTGTTGTTTTATGTTATTTAAAGCCGATCAGCAACTAGAGTAAAATAATTTCATTTCATTTAAGAACAGCAACTTTGATTTTTATTATTAAGTTTATTCTTTTTCTCCCACAGCTCCAACCTACTGCTCTTTTGTCGGCAGGTATGTTAGAACTGAAGGGAATGATTAAAAATTTAGTGGATGGGGAAATAGGGAACCTTTCTCCCCAGTATGCTAGTCAATTATTTCACACAAAAATAAACTAACAAGATCTTGATTTATTATCATCCAATGATTTATTGCTTCAAAAGAAGTATCACTTGGTTCAATGGGCCATATAGGATTGGAGCAAGGGGAGGGAAGGAGAGGGAGGCTAAAAAAAGTCAAGATGAAAGCCATGAGACCTTCTTCCCTTCCCCCTTTCCAAGGTACTTCTCGTGAGTGTGGGGTGTGTGTGTGTATTTTTTGAGGTGCTCTATTTGTTTGTGAAGTTTATGGACTCTCCTTAAAACTGATTTCAGGTTCTCAGCTCTATTTCCCAAGGTCTGGGTTTCAGATTCCACATCTCTGAGCAACTGGTTCAGGCCCCTGGAGTCTCCTTCAGGGAAGTGACTTTTTGGAGCCTCCAGATTCCTGGGCTTGGCAGGCAGCGGCCTTCTGGCTGGATGCTGAGACAGCATTTGGCCAGGGTTCACTCTCCAAGTCCTGGAGGAAAGGCTGTGTTCAGATTCCAGCTCTTCAAGAAGGCTCCGTTGGTTGCTGGACTTGGTGGGGTCTCCTTCAATGATGAGGCCCACAAGAGGATGGCGTGGGGAGCTGGAAGAGCAGGAGATTGCCACTAGGTTGGCAGCCTCTGAAAGAAGAAGCTCAGCCTAGCATCACATCAGCCCTGTTCCTCTGTGAAAAGCAGAAAGCTCAGTTGGGGCCATTAAATGCATGTGAATGTTGTTAAGCAGAACACCAGGTGCCTTGGGGGTGGGAAAGGCCCTGGGAAGCCTAGCGCAGGCTGCGGCCTGCCTGCCCTGGGTCTCCCAGGGCCTCCAAAGGCCACCCCAAGGCATCCAGTGCACCACTCACTGCCCCTTGGGGTTTCCTCAGGTCGCAGCCTACTCGAAACCCAGTTACTCAGCCATGCAAGAAAGTCTAAAGCTTCTCAGCAGAAATAACTGGCATATGGAGAGTAATTACAGTCTGTTGGTGAAGGCCTGCTTCCCATCCACCCCCTGAAGGGAGCCTAAAATGGGCTGTAGAAGCTATGGGTACATGGAGCTTGTAGGCCTCAGCTTGCTTCCCATCCACTACCCAGGAAATTGCAGGGTTCAGCCGCTCCTCAGCCAGCTGCATCATTTAATGGCCTGCTTCCAGCCCAGGAAGAGCAGGAGTAAGGGTCATTAAGTGAGGCCATCTCAGTTAGCGGCCATCACCACCTGCAACATTAATGGGCAGTCTCCAGTACAGTCATAAATCAAGGACTATCTGTATACATCCTGCCCTGAAAGAATCACCAAAAACATTGTCAACCTCCTTAACTCCCAGAATTGTTTAGAAGAACTGGGTTCATGGTATCATAAGCTGCTAAGAAACTGCATAAAAATGGATGTGCCACCTCTATCCTAGGTCTGCCACAGGTCACCTATGTGACTAAGCCCATCTCTATATTAAATGTTGGCCTGAAAACCAACTGAAATGGATCTAGTTAATCTGCTTCCTGCAGGGTTTCCTGTAGCAGCAGTCTGGCCACATTCTTAACAATATTTCCCCAAAAAGGAAGGTTGGATCCAACTACAGGTCACTTCCCTGACCATTCTCATGATTCAGGTGGGGCCAAGATAACAGCACTTTCTCAGGAATCACTAGTTCAAAATCATCCCATCTCACGGATGGAAACTGATAAAGGAGAGAAGCAACTTAGAACTAAGGAGAAACTTCCTGATAGTTAGAACAATTAACCAATGGAACAACCTGCCTCCAGAATCGGTGAACGCTCCAACACTGGAAGTTTTTAAGAAGAGACTGGACAGCCATTTGTCTGAAATGGTGTAGGGTTCCTGCCTGAGCAGGGGTTTGGACTCGATGAACTCCAAGGTCCCTTCCAACTTTATTATTATTATTATTATTTTGGATCATTGCACAGTCAGCCAGATGTTCAGACTGGATTTGGCATTTTGTCTACCTATCGAGTCCTTACCCAGGACCTGGGATAGGTAGATGTGGATGTTTGATGGTATTACAGATATCGTCTCAAGATGAAAGCAGTTCCTAGTAAGGCCGCCTTTTGCAATTGACTAATAGCGAATTTGTCAATGCCAATGGTGTTCAAGTGGTGCTCCAGTTGTTTTGGGTTTGCACCCAAGGAGCCTATCACTATTGGTACTACCCTTGCTTGCTTTTTTTTTTTTTTGCAAATGATATTTTTTGCAGATCTTCCAATGCACCATTGTTGCTACTTTGTCATGCCGCTGCTTGTAATCAGTTTGTGCAATCTTCTTGCAACAGCTTACCAAGTGGTCCACTGTTTCTTCAGCTTCTTTGCATAGGCGGCACTTACTGTCTGTTGCTGTCTTCTCAATTTTGACTTTGTATGCATTTGTCCTTAAGGCTTGGTCTTGTGCAGCCAGAATTAGTCCCTCGGTCTCTTTCTTCAATTTTCCTGCTCTTAGCCATTGCCAGGTTTTATTATTATCTGCTTTCCCAGCTATTTTTTTCATGTATTGGCCATGTAGTGCTTTGTCTTCCCATGCCTCTATTCTGTTCTTCATTTGGTCTTTCTTGTAGGCCAGTTTGGTCTCTCCAGTAGTTAGTAAGCCTTCCTGATATACTAATTTCAGTGCATCTTTATCATTGTTCTTCAGATATTCTTCCAAAGCCATTTTTTCTTCTTCAACCATCTGATGTACTTGTAGCATTCCACGCCCACCTATTTGCCTTGGTAGATAAAGTCTATCAATGTCACTGCGTGGATGAAGGGCATGATTCATTGTCATTATTTTTCTAGTCTGCGTATCCATTGCTTTTAGTTCTGCTTGAGTCCAGTCCACTATTCCAGCTGTGTACCTAATGACTGGAATTGCCCAGGTGTTGATTGTCTTTATGGTATTTCCTTCATTGAGTTTGGACTTTAAAATCTTCTTCACTCTCTTGATGTATTCACCTCTAATCTTTTTCTTGACTTCAGTGTGCTTGATTTTCCTGCTCTTAGCCATTGCCAGGTTATTATCTGCTTTCCCAGCTATTTTTTTAATGTATTGGCCATGTAGTGTTTTGTTTTCCCATGCCTCTATTCTGTTCTTCATTTGGTCTTTCTTGTAGGCCAGTTTGGTCTCTCCAGTAGTCAGTAAGCCTTCCTGATATACTAATTTCAGTGCATCTTCATCATTGTTCTTCAGAGATTCTTCCAAAGCCATTTTTTCTTCTTCAACCATCTGATGTACTTGTAGCATTCCACGCCCACCTATTTGCCTTGGTAGATAAAGTCTGTCAATGTCACTGCATGGATGAATATTATTATTATTATTATTATTATTATTATTATTATTATTATTATTATTATTATTATTATCATCATCATCATCATCATCATCATCATCATACCACAAAGCTAAGCTCTAGGTACCTCAATTGAACTTGTCCATCAGAGTTCAGGCTGGAGCAGATCAGTGATTTTATCTCCCCGATGACCACAATATACCTCACAGCAGCCACGCAGATGGTCCTGTGGCCTGTCTCTAACCAATAAGACCAGGTCACCCAAGATAGGACCACTGGGAAGCACATAGTAGACACAATAATAGTGTCACATTTCACTATTCTCATTGCCTTGAGATACTGCAAATCCTAACATGGGGTTTACCCACACCAGTCAGACGTATTCTGAGTTTTCTTCCAATGGTGCTCCAGGTACCTCTTGTGTTTCATCACTTTCTTTTCTTTGTTTCAGGGGAGATCTCAATTCTACTGTTGAAGACTTATGCCATTTTTCTATGCCACAATATGCCTGCGGCTTTGTAGAAAAGGTATCTTTTGGCTATTAAATATCTTCAAGAAAATGATTTCTTATTTACCATTTTGAAAGCTCAGTTGGACAGCATTATTAAGCACTAGCTTCAAGGTTTACCTTAATTGACCAGCCCTGGGAATGGATATCTTAGGAATTGGTTTGCTACAAGTTTGAAAAATCTATTTTTGGAAAGCTACCATTGATTCAACAGATCATCATTATTTAGAAAATTGTAAGAAAGGATATGGCCAGAATAGAAATGAAGAGCATAAAGAAAAGAAGAGAGTTTGGGTTTCACAATGCAAAAGGCAATTGGGAGGAGATGTCCTGTTCAGGATAACATCTGGAGAAAAAGAAATTACCCTACACACACAAATACATGCTTTAAACAAAAAAGACTCCATAATTTTCAGTTTGCATTAGAGAAATAAAAATCCTACTAGAAAGAAACAGCTTTTCCAATGAAATCTCAAACTCTGTAGGGAAAAGTGAATGACAATGAAGACAAAGGAATGGGGTATATCTCTGTATACAGCCAAAGCAAATGGATGATAGTATGGATGAAAATGGGTGTGTAAGGCACTAGATCAAGAGTCACCATTTGCCTCCAACTGGACATTGGTGACGACCTCAGAATTGTGAAACTGGATATTTGAGGCTTCTCTTGATATTTGTACATGTCTTTTTTCAGTGAAAATTATGCAACCAACTAAAAGTGGTTTTGTGCTTCAGGTTTCCAATCTGACCTCAAAAAAACTGGTCTCCATTCTCATGTGCTCTCTGAGGGACCCTGCCACCCAGCCTGATCAAGAGGCTTTCTTGCTGCTTTTTGAAAGAGTCAAGCTCAGCACTTTGCAGGATGCTCTGAATCAGATCAGCATGGAGGTAAGGTGACTGCAACCAGGGCCATCAGTGCTGATGGGGGAACATTTCTGCCAGTTCCTGGAGACTATGCTGAGCTTTAAGTTTGTTTCCCAGTTTCTCAGTTGATTGTTTGTAGATGAGGAAGTAAATACCTTTCTCAAATGAAGTTTGTGGCATCATTTTCTAGCACAATACAAGCAGTGCAGTATATAGGCAGGAAAATGGTAAAGGTTCACCTATCTATTCTAGAAGAGTTCAAATCACCAGGAACAGATGGGTTACATTCCAGGTTCTGAAGAAGCTGGCAGATGTAATCTCTGAACTACTGAACCATATCTTTTAAACATCCTGGAGCATCAGGGGACTATCAAAGGGGGAAAAATGAATCCAGGAAATTATAGACCAATCAATACAGAGAAGATCTTGGAAAAAATAAGCAATAATCTGCAAACATCTATAGGCAAGCAAAGTTATAGCCAGAAGCCAACATGGGTTTGTCAAAAGTAGATTGTGCCGGACAAGTCTTACTGCATTCTTCAACATTAGTGGACCAGTGAAATGCTGTGGACATAATATACTTGGACTTCAATGAGGAATTTGACAAACTAGACCACAAGAGAAATATGCAATGAGATACCCCAAGGTTTTGTCTTAGGTCCAGTACTCTCCAACATCTTCATAAATGATTTAGATGAGAGGATAGAAGGGGAGCTCATTAAATTTGCAGACACCAAGCTGGGAGGAATAGCCAATACTTTAGAAGATAGGCTCAAGGATCTTTAGAAGGATCTTGATAGACTTGAGCACTGGGTCTTATCTAACAAAATGAAATTCAAGGTTAGAAAAGTAAATGTTTACACCTAGGCAAGAAAAAACAAATGCACAGATATAGAATAGATGGTACCTAGCTCAATAGTAGTAATTGTTAGAGTGATCTAGGAGTCCTAGTGGATAACTGTTTGAATATGAATGAGCAATGTGTTGCAGCCACAAAAAAGCCAATACAATCCTATGCTGCATTAACAGAGAGATAGAATCTAGATCATGTTGCTCCCCTCTGGGAGGAAATTTCGAAGTATTTCTAGCAGGATTACCCAATTCTGTAATAGCTTTGCTCCCTATGCTATCTGTCTGATAAACTCATAAGATTCCTGTTTCTCGCCATGCACATATACATAACCCAAACTAGACTGTTGTTTCTCTGTATCATATAATATATGTGCGTATATGCATAATTCTGTATTCATTTATTTTTGTCATATTTATGTAGTGTCTATCAGAGGTGGTGACCCTTTGAGAGCTATATGAAACGAAATTTCATTTTTATGTATGTCAATTAGTATACATTCAAAGTGACATTAAAGTTATTATTCTATTCTATTCTATTTCTATGAAGTGTTAGTATCACTTTATAATGCCTTGGTAAGACCACAATTAGAATACTGCATCCAGTTTTGGTCGCCACAATACAAAAAAGATGTTGAGACTCTGGAAAGAGAAGAGCAACACAGATGATTAGGGGAGCAGGGGTGGGCTTCAAATATGTGAACAACTGGTTCTCTGTGTTCTCTGCTGCTTCTGGAAGTCCGTTTTGGGTCTGGGCAACAAAAAATTAGCTATTGGTTCTGCCAAAGTGGTGCGAACTGGCTGAATCCCACCACTGTACTGGAGACTAAATCATGTTGAATGGTTGCAGGAACTTGGTATGTCTAGTCTAAGGAAGAGAAGGACTTGGTAGCACTCTTCAAATACCCAAGGGGCTGCCATAAAGAAGAGGGGATCAACCTATTCAGGCACCCGAGGGCAGGACAAGAATCAATGGATGTAAACTTATCAAAGAGAGATCCAACTTAGAACTAAGGAGAAATTTCCTGATAGTAAGAACAATTAATCAGTGGAACGGCTTGCCTTCAGAAGTAGTGGGCGCTCCATCACTGGAGGTTTTTAAGAAGAGACTGGACATCCATCTGTCTGAGACGATATAGGTCAGTGGTGGCGAACCTATGGCACGCGTGCCAGAGGCAGCACTCAGTGCCCTCTCTGTGGGCTCACAGATCTGTGGGCCCACTTATCTGAAATGTTATAGGGTTTCTTGTTTGAGCAGGGGCTTATACAGTATTAGAAAACCTCCAAGGTCCCTTCCAACTCTATTATTCTGTTTCACTGGAAATTAATAAGAGGGGGCTTTATTTTCCTTCTGCTTTCCTGTAGCATACATAAAAGCAATCAGTTTGCCCAAAGATACTCAGATTAATGGACTTGCTGTTCTAGATCTCCAGAGACCAGATGTTACCATCTTTCAAAAGATTCTTGCTGAATGCAGTATGGGAAAAAATTAAGACAGATCCTTTAGTATGGAGTGCTGGCTTCCTCTCCTCTTGGTTCCAAGAGACGATGCATTCTTACTTGACAGATGTGAACACTAACATCTTAGACTGCATGACTCAAATTCCGATCAGCTGTGATGGCTTCAGAACAATGTATGTAGCAACTATTTGAATTGGTTTTTTAAATTATTTCTTATTAAAAGCTTTTACCCAGCTAAAAGACAAATTCAGAAGTATAAAAGAAAAAAGAAAAAAGAGAAAGGAAGAAGTGCAAAAAAGAATAGTTTAAAAAGGGGAAAGAATAGTTAAGCCACTTTCACCTTCCTTTAACCAACAAAATCATTCCCTCTCCTCCCTCCTAAATGTTACAACAATCTCCTCAGCCCCTGCAGCCATCTGAATGTTTGCCACTTTATATAAGACTAAGGGAGAGATGACAGGTACAGTTGTACAAATTTGATTTTTGTTGCTATCATATGACTCATTTATTGAATATTTATGGGATCTATATTTCAATTTTTTACCCCCGCTCTTTAGATAGGTATCTAAAAGTTTGCCCACTATATTACAATGCATTTTCAGGCTCATCACTCTGAATGCAACAATTTCTGTGAAGAATTTGCCCTTTGTCCTGGTGTGCATGTCCCCTAAGCCAGGGTGTCCAACTGTGAACTGGCACTGGTCAGCGGTATGCCAGCAAACAAGTGAAGCCCCATCTGCAGGATGCAGGCAGCGTACAAAACCACGTCCCCTTTGATCCATGGGAAAACCTCTCTCCACGGAACCAGTCCCTGGTGCCAAAAAAGTTGGGGGCCGCTGCCCTAAGCTAACCAAGTTCCAAAGTGCACTGCAAAATTCAGAAAAGTATTAATTTCTATACTATTTGTGTTGTGGCCATTTGCAGAGCCATTTGCAAATTATGCATAACCCTCCCAGATATTCCAAATGGTTGTCTAGATATTGCAGACAAAATATAGAATCTACAGTAGAGACTTAGTGCAGGCTAGAATTCAGATAGCCTACTAGGTTTGAAACAGGTGAGATGGGAACTAAAATTCAAATCCTAAAGATCACTATCCACAGAAGGAATGTTTGTAGCATATCTATATTCATTGGATATGCACAGTTTGATTATTTTTCTTCCTTTCATTAGTGTCCAGGCCTTAGACAGTGTGTACCTTGACATGGATAACAGCACAAGACAGTTGGTGGCCAGCTGGATTGGAAGATTCCTTACTGTATTCCGTAAGTGGAGGAGTGGAAGACACAGAGCAATGAAGGGCTGATTCACATTTGAAATAAGTTATAATTCCAGATGAAAAGCACAATTTGGTCATTAACACAGCTCAGCCTATCTTAGAAATAACTTCCTATGTTTCATTAAGTGTTCTTCACACACTGATTCAGGAGACTAATATAAACAAGCCACTAGTTTCCTATTACCTGTGAAAAGGTCCACTTCCTTAATAAATCACAGGTAAATCACAGGTAAAGAAATGGCCTTAGGTTGAAAAAAATTAGCTGCTGGAATTCTTGTGGTGAATTTGCTCAGACCTGTTGCTAAAGAGAACTATGTGATATTTCTTTAAAAAAATTATTGATTCTAAGTGCCTGCCAAGGAGACTGAGTATCTGCTTTTGAGTATATGCTTAAGTTACTTAGGTGAGATGGGTGGTGTAGAAGTTTAATAAATAAAATATGCTCCATTGTGCACTTCACTTAATTTGGAGAATCTGGACCAGTGATCTCAGTCTCAGCAAATCTAAACTGTTACAATTCCCAGTAATCAGGTGGATGGTTGGGAATTATGGAAATTATGGCCCAATTACACAGAAAGTTGCTCTACTAAACCAAAAAGTACTCTACCAACATTAGGTCCCTTCCAATTTCTTTTTATATTCCTTTATATTGCCTTTCAGGGTGCCAGAAAAGATCACATAAAGAATGGATACAAAACAATTGGAAGAGCTTTCAAAATTATGCCTCCTATAATGACTTCACAAAGATCTGGAGTGGTTTTGATGGGGTAAGGTTATTTTCTCTTCACTTCATTGCCCTTTGATAAAGAATTTCAACTAGCAAAACCTTTTGCACATGCAACAGATACTATAACACTAAATAAATACTGTGAGCTTCTTTCCTAAGGTCAAGGCACTCCAGTCACATACAGAAGTACTATGGTCTGTTTTTAAAGAGGTGCTACCAAAGTGAAAGGTAATCTGAGACACACTTGCTCTTAAAAAAAATCATCAAGAATTCTGCACATGCTTGGAAATGTATGGAGATAAATACAAATTATCACGAAAAAGAATGCTTATTTGTATCTTCATATCAACCCACTGGGCCAATCCATGTTCCTTAACAGTTCTTGGCACATATTGGAGGTATTTTATCATCAAAATAATTATTTATTTATGCTCATAGGTCCCACAAGACAGCCATCTAGCTGTGTTTCTCTTTAGCTATTTCAGCTTAACCAGTGAAAGTTTCCCTGGGTGCACCATTCTCACTCTCTTCTCTTCATCTCTTTCTAGTTTGCTGCTCTCGATGTCCTTACTGCTTCCCAGCTGTCCCAACTGATTGTCACTCATGAGGTCCTTGCCAATTTCACCCTAATGGAACCTGTTGCCAAAGCCCTCAGCACCCAGGATGTCCTTTATATAGACGGCTTCCTGGATGAGTTGTCCAGATCACCCCTTGACCTCCTGCTTGACCACAAAGCTGCGTCTCTTGCCCTGGAGACCATTCTGACCAAGATCAACCACAGCTTTCCTGATCATTGCTCACCCTCCCTGAAAGACCTGTTCCAAATCAAACTTGTGCGCTTGCTGCCGTTTCTTGATACCAAGATGATGATGCTATTTCCAACTCAGATAGGCTGTGTGGACTTCCATGATATGTAAGTTTGTTCAGGTTTGAAATGAGGTGTGGGGAGTCAAAAAGTCAAGATGGTGGCTATGATGAAGCTTCATCTTATTTTTAGTGCTAATTGCATGTGTAACATAGGTACAAATGAAGTGTCACATTTGCATGGTTGTCATACCTGCCCCATTCTAATCCCCTAGGGAAGTAAAATTCGCGATTCCATTTGATTAAAGCTAAAGGTACGTTTGCTAAGAGATGCTGATTGCAGTAGAGTCAAGATATTGATTGTGGAAGTGTTTTATGAGTTTAATCACTTTAACATGTTTAAACTCTATCCATTCAGTTTCCATGCAACTAAATACTGGAGCTTTCCTTGATGTTTATGAGAGACTAAAATGTCCTTAATCTCAAAATGTTGTTCCCCCTTAATCATGAGTGGTTCGGGTGGTAGTGGCAGCATCGGGTGCAGTGGGGACAGGTTTTCTGGCTTTAGGAGGCTGGTGTGGAAAATTAGGTGAATGTGCCTAAGAGATTTTGGCAACTCTAGTTCAACTGTGATCAGGTTGGCAATCCTTTTAATGGGGAACAGGCCAGTTTTTTGGAAGGTTGTCTGGACTGTAGGTACTTTGTGGAAAGGTAAACACAGTCCCCTACTTTAAAGTTTTTCAGCTTTATTCATTTTTATATGCATATTTTTATAAGTCTCTCTTGCCTCTTCCATTGTTTTTCTAACCACTGGCCAGGTATTCTGTAACCAAGTAACCCAATCCTTCAGAGATGTAATAGGAAGGGCAGTCAGGGGCAATTCAGGCATGGGCACAAAGTCTTGTCCTACAGCCACCTTGAATTGGGTGAACCCGGTGCTGCTATGTACGGAGTTGTCATGTGTTCATCCCCCCCCCCCCATTCAATTCCAGATGATGATTGGAACTAAGTCCTTGGGACATTCCCAGAAACTCTTGCCAAAATTTTGAAGTGAATTGCACTCCATGATTGCAGATTATTCATTGCAAAGAGCCATGCAATCTATAGACATGGTGAATGAACAATTTAGCCAAGGTGTGGGCGGAAGGAACTTTTTGGCAAGGCACAAAATGCACTTGCTGACTCAATTTAACAGGGACTGTTTGAAATAGAAAGATTAGCTTAGGTAAGGTGTTCATCTTAACGGTTGCTATCCTTCCTAGCAATGATAATTGAAGACATTTCCATTTCTCCAAGTCCTCTTTTATTTGTTTTAGTAATCTCTCATAATTGTCCTCTTTTACTGTTGTATATTTTGATGTTAAATGGATACCTAAATATTTAACTTTTTTAGCTATTTAAAGATTTGTCTTTTTAGCAAGTTGGATTTTTTGTTTGTCTATTAAGTTTTTTTGTTAATACTTTACTCTTTTCCCTATTTATTTTCAGCCCCGCCACTTCTCCAAATTTCTCTATTTTCTGCAAAAGTTTAGTGGCTGTTTCCAGTGGTTCCTCCAAAATAAAAACCAAGTCATCTGCAAATGCCTGTAATTTATATTTCTAGTCTTTTATCTCCAATCCTTTGATCTTCATGTCTTGCCTAATATTCCTAGCCAACACTTCCAGTGTAAGAATAAATAACAAGGGAGACAATGGACTTCCCTGTCTTGTGCCTTTTTTGATTTCAAAGCTGTCTGTGTAATTTCCATTTAAAAGTATCCTTGCTGATTGTTTATTATAGATTACTTGAATTGCATTTATAAAGTTTTCACCAAACTCCATCTTCTTCAACTGTTAGAACATAAATTGCCAATTGAGATTGTCAAAAACTTTTTGTGCATTGAGAAATATGAGTGCCAACTGTTTCCCCGGATGGTTTTCGTAGTATTCCAAAACATTTAAAATGATCCTTAGATTATTCTTTATCTGCCTTTTAGGTAAAAAGCTATTTTGGTCCGAGTGGATAAATTCAGTCAAAAATTTCTTCATTCTTTCCGCCATTTTTGCAGTAAATATTTTGTAATCCACATTTAATAACGATATTGGTCTACAATTTTTGATTTGTGTAAGGTCAGTATCTTCTTTGGGTATGAGGGAAATATTGGCTTCTATCCATGAATTTGGTATTTTTATCTCTGAAAGAGTTTCATTACAAAGGTCTTTCAAGATCGGGCTTACTATTTCTTGTAGAGTTACGTAAAATTCTGCAGGGAGACTATCGGGTCCCGGAGTTTTATCTTTCTTTTGCCTTTTTATCACCTCTGTGATCTCCATCATTGTTATCTTCTCGTTTAACATGTATTGCATATTCTCTGATACCTTTGGGAGATTCGCTTCTTTTAAATAGTCCTGTATTACCTCATTCGAGACCACCTCAGTCTTATAAAGTGCTCATAGTAAGCTTTAGTAATGTTTTTGATTGCATCATTGAGGCAGTGTAATTGGCCCTTTGAGTCTTGTAGCTTACTTATCAGTACTTTTTCTTTTTTCACTTTGTATGCAAGCCATCTTCCCGGTTTATTGGCATTTTCAAAAAAATTCTGTTTAGATCGTTTAATCTGTTATGCCCTTGTATCTATCTCCAGTAGGTTTAATTTATGCTTTATTAGTTTCATTTGTGTCTTCAACTTTTTCTTTTGTGGATCATTTTGTAACTCAAATTCCAAGTTACTGAGTTGTTCTTTCAGCCTAAGCTGTGTCTCTATCTGTTTTTTTTCTTTATTCTTTTTGGCAACATAAGTTATAGCCAAACCTTTGAAGTAATCTTTTGCTGTATCCCATACATTTTGAATGGAGGTTTCTTCTTTCTTATTTATTCAAAAAAAAAAAAATCCATTTCTTTCGTTACTGATTGTAAAAATTCTTTTTCTTTCAATATAGATTTATTCAACGACCATCTTAATTTTTTCCTAGTTCCTTTCCAAATCATTTTAATTGGATTATGATCTGTCCAAATATTAGGTTCTATTTCAATCTCCTTTAAATCATAAGACGTCCATATCATATCATTTCTTGACCATGATTTATGACTATTTGAATAAAATGTATATTGTGCTTTGTCTGGATTCATTTCTCTCCATGTATCTTGTATACATAATTCATCTTTCATCTTTAAGAAGGGTTTAGATAGGGTATTTCCCCCTTTTTCCCTTGCTTATGGCTTTTATAATCCTGTTTTGCGTCAGCTATTGCATTAAAGTCTCCACGTATACAAAGATTTTGATAGTTTAATTCCACTAGTTTGTCATGTAATTGCTGAAAAAACTGATCTTCTCATTGGGGGCATATATTGCAACCATCAAAATTTATTTTTGATTCCATGTAATTTCCACCATTAATAATCTCCCTTCATCATCAACATATATTTGTTTTGGATTCATCTTTTCTTTTATATAAAGAGCTACCCTCTTTTCTTTTGCAATGCCAAAGAGAAATAAAGTTTAACTATTTTTGGTTGTTCTAAAAATCTAAAGTTTTGGCTTTTAATATGCGTTTCTTGAAGACAAATTATGTCCATTTTCAATTTTTGTAGTCTATAAAATATTTTACTCCTTTTTCATGGGGAGTTAAGACCATTTATATTTGTTGAAAAAATTCCAATCTCCTCCATGATTTTAGTTGTATCTAGATCTCAGTCTTCTAGGAGAACTTATCTGCCTCTGATTTTAGGGCCTTACATCTTCCTCTGATTGGATCTTTTTAGGTTCTTCCTCCTCCGTTTGTTTTGATGCTCCTGCATCTGTCATTTCCCCTTGTTTCTTAGATTCAACATTGCCTTTTTCCAGAAAAGCTCTATGATTGTTGAAAAATTCCTCTGCTTGAAGTGGGGTATCCAATCTATATCTTTTCGAATCCCCAAAGGTTAATAATCCTTCTGGGACCAACCATCTAAAAGTCACTCCTTTATTAAATAGTTTCCTTGTAAAAAACTGATATTCTCTTCGGGCTTCTCTTATTCTTTTGGGAATGTTTAAGAACTACAAGTTCTTTATCTTTATATTTCAGTGGTTGATCTCTTATTGCTCTCAAGATCTCATCTCATGTAAATCTTTTGAGAAATCTTATGTGGACCTCCGTGGGAACTCTATATCTTCTTGTGTAGCTTGAATTGACTCTAAAAACCTGATCCATTTCTTTTTCATTTGGTCCATTTCCATTCCAAGTAATTCCGCCAATAGCTCGCTCATCAACTCTAACAAGTTCTCATCTTCTCTTCTATAATATTTTGAAATCTTAAGAAGTATGATGCTCTTTCCATCTCCATAAAGGCCATGCTGTCTTCCAATTCCATGTTAGCTTGCACCAGTCTCTGATTTTCATCTTCCAAGGCTTCTAGTTTCTGATCAACCACCACTGACTAATCTTCTATTTTTTGCATTCTTTATTGAGTATCTGTCATCGCCTATTGATAGGTTTCCATTTTTTGATCCATTTTAAGAAGATCATTTTTCAAATCTTCATAATTTTTTTCCAAGTTCACATGGGGATTCCATTTTCATAGTCATGCTAATCCCAGTACCAGTCTCTCCATGCCCCGGGCCATGATAAAACTCAGAGTCTCTGTGTGTGCCTCCCATCCATTCTTATTGGTTTGGTGACAAATATTACTGGGATCCCCTCTGGTATGGACTCATCTAGCTGATAGAATGCCACTGGCACCTTGAGTGGTCTAAGTCTCATCCCTAGCTTTTCAAGCTTAAATCTTTCTTTCAATTGCATGTATGTAAACCAATGGCAAACCTGATCTTCTGATTCTAGCTCCTCCTTGGATTTGAGAGTAGGCTCACCCAAATTAAAAGATAGGTCCACCAATTCGGCTTCATCATCATCTTTTCTTAAAAAGGCTTCTTGTGTGGAAACCCAAAGTAGTACCTGCATAGAGAATCTTATTTTATATTTATTCCAAATTCTCAAAATGTCACGCGTAGTAAAATGATTATTAAAATCAACATTTACTTTAACTTTGTCATACCATAGGTAACCACTCCAACCAAACCTTAGCTCATGGCCTTCTAGGTCCAGTAACCTCTTATTCTGAAGGTTCACCCATTCTTTTAGCCAAACCAAACA